AGACATGTTAGAGAGGTAGGTGCTGGTCTGTTCCCACAGGTAATTATTAATGATAGAACAAGAGGGAACAGACTCAAGCTGCACCAGGGTAGGTTTAGGCTTGACATTAGGAAAAGTTATTTTACTAAAAGGGTTGTCAGACATTGGAACAGGCTGCCCAGGGAGGTGGTTGAGTCACCATCCCTTAATGTGCTTAAAGGTCATTTAGATGTGGTGCTTGGAGATACGGTTTAGGGGTGTGCTTGGTAGAGTAGGGCTGATGGTTGGACTTGATCATCTCAAAGGTCTTTTCCAACTTGAATGTTTCTATGATTCTGTGTTCTTTTGGTCTGTGTGGCTGGCGTGGAAGTGATGACTGCTTGCACAGTACTTGTTCTCTCTTCCCCCTGTTAGCCTAGGTGGCCTTCATAAATCACAGCAGGGGAGTGAATTCAGATCCTTTTTTCCCAAAGTCTGTTTTGCTGTTGAGATATCAGGCTGAGGGGAACAGCCAGCAACCTACCTGCGATTGCAGCTCCTGGCTGCAAATTGACGTTTTCCCTCCTTCTGGTGAGAACAGTGGGGAAGGGAGAAGGAAGCGCTCTGCCCATCCCTAGGGTGCTCTCTTTCCATCAGATTTCAGTTCACAAGTTGGACTTTCTCTTCCAGTATTGCATGGCAGGCTCAGTCTTAGGAACCAGAATGCTACAGCTTGCTTCAAAGCTTGTTGATCCCCCTGTACTTAGAAGACAAGCACCCACCATGGCGCTCTCTGCCTTCCATGTGCCTTTGCTGCATTGATGTGAGCTTGGCAACGGTGACTCGCTTATCTCCTGTGACGTGTCAGTTGGCCTGCTAGGAGCATGCCTTAGGAAGGTGCACTGAAGAAAAGTGACTCTTCTGTTTCTTTAACTTTTTAAACTTCAAGTGTTCTTCCATGAATTTAGCTGTATTACAAGCAACTCCTCCTTCATTCTGTTCTTTCATGTAGGTCACACTGATACTTCAGTCTTTTTTTCTGACACACTGTTATATTTATTAGCAGTATAGCTACTAATCAGCAATGTTTTAGTTCCCAGTGACTTACTTAAGAAGAAATGGATGCCCGTAAGCAGGTGTGAAGGGCCGAATAGCCTGGCTTGTTTGAATTCCCGTGGTCAGATGTAGTCCCATATTTTGTGTTCTGTTTTCGTGCCTGTTGGCTAACAGACAGGTCACTTGCCTTGTATGTGCTCAAGGTCTTTCAAAGGTCGCTTTTTCTCTCCGCTTATGAAGGAGCTCTTGTAACATTGGGAACTGGAGGTTATTGTTTGCATGCCTGGATCTTTTCCAGGATCCACTTAACTGTGGATTGGAGTGACAAGAAAGCTCCCTGCGGAGGGAAAACAGCTTTCAGTTGCAACAAGGAATTTCTATTATGGAGTTCTGCATGTGAAATGCCAGTGTGATGAAGTTTGGTGCTCCCTTGGCTTATAGCTCTTCAGTGGAATTCGGCACCTGCTGAGACCTAAACTTCAGTCTATTCGAAAAATAATAATTAATAGCCTCGTTTATGAAGCCATTCAAGAACTTAAATGCTGTTTGCAAAGCATGGTATATTTGATCAACAGAAAAGTCTGTAAAGTTTTGCTTTGCAACAAAATATTGTGCACTTCTATTAATTTACTGCAATGTTTAGTCAAAAATTAACTTAAATTTTTGTCGTGAGTGACCTGTGAACCGTTATTCCAGTCGCCATCAGATTTTTGTATCATTATTAACTTAGCATCTTTTATAACTGTTTTAGGTAACAGGAAATTTGAAGTCATGGCTGGAAAACCGAAACTTTACTACTTTGATGGAAGAGGCAAGATGGAGTCAATTCGCTGGTTGTTAGCTGCAGCTGGGGTTGAGGTTTGTTTTAGTGTTTTTAACTTTAAGCTGCACATTGGTAAGCTTGTCTTTGAGGCAGGTCACAGGTTATTACCCAAAAAAAGAAAAGGCATCCCAAGATGCATAGTAAATGAGCGTTGGCTGTTCGGGATAATTAAACACTTTTACTTTAAGCACACAATAGTATGGCTTCAAGTTACATGTCTTCTGAGCAATGACACTGTAAACCAGTTTCTTGCTTAACGCAAGAATGCATAATGCTTAATTAAGCATTCAATTACTGACCCAGAGCTGCTGAGCTGAATGATAGATGTGTTCCTGGCATAACAAGTGTTATCTGTGCCAAGTAAAACGGCAACAAATTTACTTTCTCTAGTCTTTCTGTTTTCAGTGGGATGCTCACACACAGATTTTTATTTTGTTTTTCACTTCACTGGTTGCATCCTCCGCAGTAAGCTAGAGCACAAAACATATTTTGTCTTACTTGCATCATTTGAATGAGGCTTAACAGGATGAGGTGAGCAAACTGACCCACATATTTAGGGAAATTAGAAATCTCAGAGCAGGAAGAAAAACTTTGGGGTGAACCAGAGAAGCAAGACACCGCTTTAAAATAATTGGGTTTGGTGGGATGTAATTTAGTTACTCATTTGCTACCTATCTTGCTGATAAAGTGATAACTCAGTTTGAGGACAGAAGGGACTAGGAGTTGCTCTGAGTGTCCTCTTTTATATAGTGGGCCGTTACACTTGGTACGGTTACCCCTGTACTGAGCCAAGGAACACAAATTTTGCAAAAAGACCACCAGTCTTTATGTGAAGGCCTTACAGAAGACACAACTGGCTGCTTGCCTGCGTCATTCGTTCCTATGTTTTAATTCCGTCTTTTTTTATTTGAAAAAAAAACCCTGTTGACAGGTACAAATTATTAAATTTTTCCTTAGGATATTTTTTTCCCAGTTTTTCATCAGCAGAAACACAGGTTCTGAATTTCAGACTCTGTGATCACACTTACTATGGTTGAACACTGGCACTGCGGTAGTACGGCTAATCTCCTGGGGTTTCCCTAGTGTAGCGAGTCTTAATTACTAACCTAAGGTGCACAGATGTTCTGAGAGAGGTTGGCTGAGGAAGGATCCTCGGGAGTCCCCAGCGAGGCATCTAGGGATTGGTAAACTCAACCATTTTCTAGTCTCCGTGGTCTGTGTTGACTATAGACATGTATGAAGCGTGCAGACTCGTACATGTAGACATCTAACTTTGGTGTCTTAATCTGGAACTGAATTCCTCTGTAAGTCGCACTGATGGGACTGGCCATCCTCAACCATACTGAGTGCAACTGCATCATTCTAAAAACAGGCAATTCTTTTTTTTTTTTTTTTTTTTCCCTCATCTAGAAAGTAATTCATCTTTATCTGTCCTAAACATGCTTCTGTACTAAACTTCCTGCTGGGCATAATGCTTTTACATTATTTTGTAAAAGCTGTGTTTTAACTTTCTAAAAATTTGTTCCCATCTAGCTCCTGATCAAAATATCCCACAGCAGAGCTTTTTTCCACATACCAGAAAGCATTTTAAGGACAGCCTAGTCTGTATTGTTGACTGTTTCACATTAAATTGCCTGTTCAATACCAAACAAAACATCCTCACTCCAGTTCTTATTGCCTGTTTATTTATTTGTTTATTGTTATTGCAATGCTCATTGCCTCTTTGTCCTCATTCTTTTTTGTCAGTTTGAAGAGGAGTTTTTGGAAACTCGAGAGCAGTATGAGAAACTCCTGCAAGGTGAGTCCATGTGAAACCTCAAGAAAAGTGTGACCAGACTTAGTCTCAGAGAAGGTGTGTAAAGAGAAGACTTTAAAGACTGTGGGACTTCTTTCCACACAGCAGAGAGGGGAGTAAAGCTGAGAGTTGTGAACAGCTGCAGAGGCTGGTTTTTTTCCTCCGTATGTGGACAGATGCAATTGAATATTTAATGTCTTTCCAACCTGGAGAGTTTCCCAGGCCTCTGGGTTGTTCTGTTCTCCATTTGTGTACGTGTCCTACCCGGTCCCTCAGACTTACCCTGGGCTTCAGTAACTTGAAAAAATGTATCCTGAAACTTCATTGAATGTCCTGATTTAGCTTAAGATACTGGTTATAAGAGAGAAATTTGGGAATCTGACATTTGCTTCAACTGTGTTTTCAATAATGGAATGGAATTTTTAAAACGTATTTGGAATTAGGCACTTTTTGCTCAGTTGATGTGTTTAGTGTGATTGTCTCCACTGTATTTCAGTTTCAGCATAAAAGCTGCTGTACGCAGTCCTGCCTGCAACTTCTGTCAAACTTTTTTTAAGCAAGGATGTTAATCCACAGTAACTGTATTCTGCAGTTTAACTTGTCTTCACCACTGTCGTTTATTGTTTGCGTGGAAGAACCCTGGTTTAATAGAATGACTACCCACAGCAAGTTAACCGTAAAAGTAACAATCTTCTGAAGACAGCAAGAAATCCGGTGTGGAGTTACTGGATCCAGCAGACTAACGTATGGCTTTCCCTTCAGGTGGATCCCTGCTGTTTCAGCAAGTGCCAATGGTGGAGATCGATGGTATGAAGATGGTGCAGACCAGAGCCATCCTCAGCTACATAGCAGGGAAATACAACCTCTATGGGAAGGACCTGAAGGAGAGAGCCCTGTACTGTAACAGTACTACTCTTCTTTAATTCATTTCAGTAGCTTAGATACATCTAGAATTAATTGCATACTTGCATACCCAGAGAATCACCTGGGTGCCTCAGTGACGCACAACTTGCAGTGAGCCTGACAGGCCACAGATAGATGCAAGCCAACTTATTTGTTCTAATTCGATTATTTTAACATAAAAATATTTGAGGCAGGGGGTTATTGAGCTTTAGTAAAAGATTAATGCAGCTTGACACAGGTATTCGAGAGGTGACTGGCATGGAGATATTGAACTACTTTTGTAAACAGAAAACTTTCTGGAAAGCAATGGTGAGTTTTTAAGTTTTTGGCTGCAAATTAAGATCTGTCATTGATGTTAGCTGTGATTGCATAATATTCCACGGCACTGTAAAAAGTGCATGGTTTAGGTCTTTGGGAGTTGGGGAAAGAACAGCTAAAAGCTGTTGAAAACCTTCTGGTTTCATGTGAAATTAAATCCAGGTCTTGATGTTGTGTCTGTGTGAAGGAAAAAAAAATGTAATTGAGCTCTCTCAATATGCATGCTTTAAATATTCATTTCCTATTGTTTTTCAAAAGCAAGAAAACTAAAGGTCAACTAGGAAAGCATCTAACTAATAGATATTTTACAATAAACTGCCATTAAACGGTGCAAATGGTTGGAAGAATTGGCTGAACCAAGTTCAGGGACGTAACAAAAAAGAATGAATATTCAGATGGAGCCTCAGTGATAGCTTATCAGCTTCTTTGTGTTGTTAATAAGCCATCGTTTCCTGCAGCTTGCATTCCTTGGATACCTCTTCCTTCAAGCAGAAGTCTCTTAAATCGAGTCTTAGCTTTAGCCTGCAGCCTATTCC